AAGGAGGAAGACTCCTGCCATGAGGTATGAGTCTGTGTGGTCTCTTCTGAATTTTTTTCATAGTAAAATGGAGAGAGAAAGGAATCGAGGCCTTGACCTACTCAGGGTCAATCCAATTTCTCCCAGTGGTGACTTGGAGCACTGCTCTGGCTGGACCAGGGAGCCTCAGAGAAGGAATTGTTTCTTGAAAGAAGATTAAGAACGAAACAAAACAAACAAAAAAACCTACTCCTACAGGCTTCTCAACACAATCAAAGGAATGGCCAAGAGACAACTTGTGTAATGCTGAAGACACAATCCGAAACGGTGGGTTCGTTCACACGGTGTGGGACTGCAGTGGCTTACTGTGTGTCCCAGGAGGTTTTAATTCACAAAGCTCTGCTTTGGAACCAGAGAAGAGAACCTCAAATTAGCTGAGGACTCTGTCCTCACAACTGACGATATATTCTGGAGTTTGTCCTAGATTTTGGACATCTGCCCCGTCTTCTGGCAGCACATTAGCAACGAAACTGAATCATCACAGTGTGGCTGGTCTGTGGCACGCCTCCAGTTACATTTTTATCAAGTGCCCACTATGTGCCAGGCACTGAGGGCTGCAGGCAGGGTGCTGAACAATACAAAACTGGAGCTTGCAACACCAAATGTAGTGATGCTTTTTTTTTTCCTTCTAATTTTTGTTTCATAAACCACAGCATTTGAAAACTGTTAGTTATTCCAACAAATTGCCGTTAAATAACTATAGATTCTTCTGATTTTAAATCAAAACCAAGGCTGTAATTAGGGCAGGATGACTGGGGCTCTTCGTTTAAGGTTATGGACATCTGGAGGTCACATAAATTTAAGATAATTATTTTGAAAGCTCAGTTCGTTAGTGGGAGTGAGCGGGCAAAACAGAAAGTTACCAGATGGCATGGGCTGTTAATGCTAGCCATCTTTGAGCTGGAGCTGGAAATTCAAATGCTGGTTTTGGGATTTGCCTCATGATGTTTGTCTCAGGGACCAGAGTTGTTAGCTGTAAGTCCAGCTAGCAGAACAACAGAACCAGTCTTGTCACACTAAGTTGGGATTCTTCCAGCTCCCAGAAATAGATCAGACTGTTGATGCAGACAGCTTGGTCTGATCAGAGCAAATGGAGGCACTTCAGTAAGTTTTTAAACTTAGTCCGCTTCATAGTATTAATTGATCACATGTATTCATGTATTGCCTTGCCTCGCTCCTTTACTCTGTTGAGCACTATCTGGCATGTGGGTTATGAAAGAACACAGAGTAGCTGCTCAGCAAATAAGACCTGGTTTGATATTTTCCCTGTGAGAACTTGTGTGAACTCCCAGTATTCATTGAACCCATCCACCCTACCTCCACCCCACTTTACAAATGAGAAAAACCAGCTTTCTGAGAGCTAAATGACTCACATCAGAACCCAAGTCTCTAGGCCGGTGGGGTGGTTTTATCCCCATTTCCATGTGATTGATATTGGAGCTTAACTCCACTTCTTCATTTGTGACAGCATTGTAGAAGTAACCGTCTCATTAAATAAGAAACACAGAGCCAATGCAAAGATGAAAGCCCAAGAGGTCAGAGCTAAGAGCCTTACCCTTCACTGCTGCAGCTATCCTCTTCAGCCAAGAGCCCTACTTCCTGTGTTTTTGTCTTTATATAGACTTTCTGTTCTGCCTTCTCATTGGTTGTAAACTCAACCACATGACCTCCTTGTCACTGCCCATCTGTACAGACCTCCAGGTCTTCTATGGTTGGTACTGAGACTAAAGGCGTGTGCCTCCATGCTGGCTGTATCCTTGAACACACAGAGATCTGCCTAGCTCTGCCTCCCAAGAGCTGGGATTAAAGGCATGCGCCACCAACGCCCGCCTCTGCTACGGCTTGTATTAGCTCTGACCCCCAGGCAACTTTATTTACTAACATACAAATAAAATCACATTTCAGTACAAATAAAATATCACCATATTTCCCCTTTTCTATTTTAATAAAAAATAAAAAGCTTATAACTAACAAAAGAAAAACTATATACAAAAGTACAATAACTATATAGAATATATACAAGTAATAAATATCTAAACAATGTCTAGTCCATTTGTATTTGACAAATTCAGAGAAAATAATTCCATTATCTAGCCTATTTTGGTAAGTCGAAAATGTATCTAATTCACTTTCTATCCTAATTAATCTTCAACTATAACTAACTAATCTTCAACTCCCTCAGCCCAAGAAGGAAATAATATTACCTAATAAAAAATAAAAACAGGAAGTGCATGCAAGCAGCTTCCAAAAAAAATGTGAGTTGACAGAAACAGCCAGCTGCCTGGACAGTCACCTGAGGTTTCTCTGCAGTGTTGGGGCATCATCTTCAGCCTATAGGCTTAGCGTATCTGACAGATTCATTTGTGAAGTAGGATGTACACAAGGTCAATAGTTCAATCTCACATTGGGTGAGAGCAGCCCATGTACCAGAAACACCTGAATTCCACTAGTGTCATGTCATGATTCAGGATTTTAAATTCTGGAAATTGTTGATGTGTTTTGTTTTTAATTCAGCTGTCCATTCTTCTTGGCTATGTGTGTGTATGGCTTCATCTCAGCGTCCTATTCTTCTCCATATCCTTCTATTAAATGCCAGTCTACTATTGAGAGGTGTGAGCTTAGTTACTCTTCAAGAATAACTTTCAGCTGCTGTTCCACTGCACATGAGAAGCCATCGGCCCACTGCCTGTTCAGCTGCCTTTGAAGAAAAGGACACTGTACCTTTTCTGAATTGCGATGGCCACTTCAGGGATAGTGCCATATTGTCCTGGCCTTAGAAGATGCCTTTTGATAAAGCCATAACCACACTTGTTTTGGCAAGAATAGATATGATAGGATAAAAGGATAGATTAATGAACCTACTTTTAAAGAGCAACTTGTTTAAAATGTTTTACATTGCTATGGATTTTAGTTTCTTGATACAAATTTAAAGTTAATTTTGTTATACTGTGTGTTATTTCTACTCTTGTTTAAGGTATTATGTTTATGTAACTCATTTAGATTGTAATGGATAATTAAGATACAGATAATTAGTCTTCTATGATAGTCAAACTTGTAGCATGTTAAGTTTTCTAGGTATACATAGATATATTTCAGATAGACAGGTAATCTTCAAACACTTCAAAGACCTACAGAATATGGCATTTAAAATATTTTTAAAAATTTAGACTTTCTGGACAGTGAGACATGTCTACTCCTGGCAGCACCAATTTACTTCAGAGAGGAGGATGGGCATCGAAGACACTCCATATGGAGTTTATCTTCACCTTGGCAAAAATAGCCATTTTGGCAAGAAACTGTTCTTGCCTGGACTGCTTGAAAAAAATGTATCGACTGGACATGCAGGACCCATAGGAAAGTGACCACTGAACTTTGCTTAGGGAAATGGTCCTTCAGGTTCCTGCTTCGCAGAGGAAACTGCCAGACATTCTACAGGACACAGAGAAAAATGACTGAGAAACTCTAGCCCTGTGTGCTGAAGACAGATGCCCCAACTTTACAAGAGAACTTTGGATGACTGTCCAGGCTGCCAGCTGTCTCTGTCTACCCTGCAAGACTCCCAGAAGTTGCTTGCATCCTTCTCCCATTTCTCAGGTAATATTATATCCTTCTGAGGTCTTTGATGTATTTGAACACTAGAGATAGTTATAATTTTCCTTAGTTATGATAAAAGAAAACTTAGATATGAAACCTTAGACTCACAAATATAGGATAGATATGATATCCTCTTTAATATTATAGCTGTAATTCTTGCTTGATAATTGTTTTGTTATATGTAATTTTACTACATGAAAGTTAAAACCTTCCTTTTTGAAAAAAAAAAAAAAGAAAAGGAGAAGTGCTGTAGATATTGCTCTGTACAAATAAAATGCTGACTGGCCAGTAGCCAGGCAGGAAGTATAGGCAGGACAAGCAGAGAAGAGAATTCTGGGAACAGGAAGGCTGAGGAGAGAGACACTGCCAGCCGCTGCCATGACAAGCAGCATGTGAAGATGCCAGTAAACCACGAGCCACGTGGCAAGGTATAGATTTATAGAAATGGGTTAATTTAAGATAGAAGAAGTAGATAACAAGAAGTCTGCCACGGCCATACAGTTTGTAAATAATATAAGTGTCTGTGTGTTTATTTTATAAGTGGGCTGTCAGACTGCCAGGGCTTGGCAGGACTGGAGAGAAAACTCCAGCTACACAGCATCCTGGGAAATTTCTATCAGTGACCAGGAGAAGGGGAAGAGGAGCGAGTAAATGAGTATGATTCATGGGAAGGGTGTCAAGAAACTAGTTAAAAACTCAAGATATCAAACCCAACTTTCTACCAAACTGTCCATTGCATCATAAAAAAGAAATAACGAATTGACTTTGAGATATGGAACTATCCAGAAGTAATCATGTGAAGACTGAGGCACCTGAAGGATGGTCACAAAGAGCACAAATCTCATGCCACTTGCCCCCAGGGTAAGAATGAGGCTCCCTGAGTCCTGCTGGGGATTAGTCTAATTCCAAAGCCTTGGGCTGGATAACAGAAAGAGAAACAACATAAAATTATTTGGTTTTGTTTTCTCTCCAGGGTCAAGATAAACTCAGTTAAAGAATGCTGTGGGGCTAAGATGTGTGTATGTGTGTGTGTGTGTGTGTGTGTGTGTGTGTGTGTGTGTGTGTGTG